GTTGAAAACGAAAGTAAAGTTTAGTTAAAGTTTTACCGGGAAATGAGAGCAGTCTCTTTTAAAATTATTCAAACATTAGCCTATTTTTTTATGTAAACATATTAATGCATCTAATTCACCCGCAATCAATTGGAATATTAGTTGGTATTACTTAGATCCATCACTTACGTGCAGATGAATTTATAGCTTTTTTTTTCTTTTCATCCAAAATGATGATGTAAACAGCGGGCTGTTTAGCTACATCTGGCCACTTCACGTGTTTCTGTGATCTGATTGCTATCCGATCGTGAAAAGACCAGGTGTAAGCTAAATGCCCTCCGAAACGCATTGGAGACGGATATTTAAATCCGATCGCTCAAACCACTTCATGAGGAGGTCTGGGCCGCTTTACAGACGAAAATGGACTCGTAAAGGCATCTGGTTGTTCAGGGGCGTAGCAATCATTTCAAAAGTGAGGGGGACAGAATGTCAAGCATTATACTTTTTTTTTTTTCAGACCTTTGTAGACCAGTTATTGCTTAATTGGCTTAATATGCTATTCATGTGTAAAGCGATAAAACAGAAAGAAAAAAAGGAATACAGATGTTCTGTAATCTATATTGCACATGGTATTGTATATTTTACTATATTGTTTACATATTTTAAAAATATTTTTTGTGTACATTGTTTTGTATGTGAATGTCACACATGGATACTTTCACATTCACACTACATTGTTCTAGTCCACATTTGGAAGGAAATAAAAGTCACTCAAACCACACATTTGCAGATATGTATTGAACTGAAATGACACATGTCACAGTAAGGAGATCTTAAACTAGTAGAACAATACGATACAATAAACAGTTAAGTGTTCATTCACATTTATGCTTCTCATTTAAGGCTTTTTTTTTCAAAAGCAGCAGATTATTTATACAGAGTTAACATTAATATATGTCTCAGCATTTTAAGCTACTTGAAACTGCCGAAAGTGTCTCTATCTATCTATCTATCTATCTATCTATCTATCTATCTATCTATCTATCTATCTATCTATCTATCTATCTATCTATCTATCTATCTATCTATCTATCTATCTATCTATCTATCTATCTATCTATCTATCTATCTATCTATCTATCTATCTATCTATCTATCTGTTTTACTTACAGTAACCAAAACTGTCTTTCATATTGAAAACATTCAAACTTCATGCTTTTAAAACTTCTTCAAACTTTCTGGTTAGGCTTTTTAAAGAAAACTTAACGTTTGTCTACAAACTTTTTTAATCTAATAGGCTATATGCCCAGCTGCACTACTTCCTGAACTTCAGCCAGCTCCTTGTTTCCTGCCTGCCATTATTGGCCAAACTTGATTAATTCAGGTGTGTCTGATTATTGTTGCCTTGACTACTGAGGACAAGCACACCTGAATTAATCAATTTGGCCAATAATGGCAGACAGGAAACAAGGAACTGGCTGAAGTTCAGGAAGTAGTGAAGCTGTGCATATAGCCCATTGTAAAGTGTTACCTTATTATATGGTAAACATCATGTACACATGTTACAAGTACAACGCTGCATGATTCAAGCTTTTTTTAAAAGCCAGTCTATTACTTTTCACCTGAAGTTTCTTTTTTTTGAGTGTCATCCTCTTTCTGACCTGACAACCCTACGCTCCCTGTTTCTTGATCAATCTTGACAACACAGAAGAAGAAAAAAACATTAAATTAGTGCAATAATATTATTGAACCCTATAAATTAAGACCTAAATCAGAACATTAATGCATACAATTGCATACTGCATTTATATTGAATGGTAACACTTTACAATAAGGTTTCCTGTCTGTCTGTCTGTCTGTCTGTCTGTCTGTCTGTCTGTCTGTCTGTCTGTCTGTCTGTCTGTTTTACTTAACCAAAACTGTCATTCATATTGAAAACATTCAAACGTCATGCTTTCAAAACTTCTTCAAACTTTCTGGTTAGGCTTTTTAAAGAACTTAAGTCAAGTGCAACGCTGCATGATTCAAGCAAATAAGTTAGATAATGGCAGAAAATTAGGCAAAGTTATTCATCAATGACAATGAGCAACCAAATTGCACATTACATACCACATTACAACTTACAGTTCTTGACTTTTTTGCGAAAAAAGTGTGAAGTGTTTTTTCCCGTTTTGAATTCATTTCGACCTTCGACGATGGATTCAGTGCGGGTGCGAGCACGGGCGTGTGGTGATGTACGAGCGCGAGTGACTGATTACCATGGCAACGTGAAAGTCACGTGTAGATATTGGGGGGGGGGGGACACGTCCCCCGCGTAATCTACGCCCTTGTGGTTGTTGAAACCGCATGTAAATTGGACTTCTCCTAAAAATGCTGAAATAAAACGTGTGAGAGCAGCCTGTGCTATTATATTGATTAAAAATATGATGAAGCTATAACACGCACCGCAGCTGAGCATCTATTCATAAAGCCAACGTGCAAACTATCGTAAATCAAAGTGAAAGTAAGTCACAGACGCTTAACACACAATCATCTTCGTTAAAAGTAAAGAAACAAAATCTTACCATTGCTGTCTCTCTTATTGCGGTCTTTGATTGTGAAATTATTATCAATAAAATGCAGCTCATTACGGTTGCTTTCGGTGACGTGAACTCCGTTAAATCTACGTATAGCGCGTTGTTTGAAGATCGGATGCGAAAACATATTTATGTGACCAGGTGTAAATGGAATCGTTTTGATAATTCGGTCAGTAAAAACGCATGAAGTGTCCTGGTGTAAATGGCCCCATTATGAGCTGTCAGCGTCTGTATAATTTTCTGTTAATTAATTGCAAATTGTGGCATGTTGCAAATCTGTCACATCTCTTGTGTTTTTATGAATGACGTCAGCGACTAGTCGACTTTGATGTCATAACAGTTGACTTCAAAAAATCTGAAGTCGTTCAAACCCTAGTGGACAGCAGTTGTCAATGAGGGGCTGCTGGCTTATACTTTTGCTTTGTATTTGTTAATTTTACTATTAAAATGCTTAAATGTCCGCCCGCCTCCTCCTTCCCACAACAACGAACCCTCATTAGTGAATTACTCCTCGTTTGTATTTCTTTCTATATGGTGAATTACTGCATGATACCTTCACTATATTGCGGCTCGTAAAGATAGTCCCGAACATCGGATTCGAGCAGCAGAATTTCAAAATCCACTACCATATCATGTATACTTTTTTTCCGTCTTTGTCATACTTCCTATCTCCACAGCGCTTGTGGAGAGCTCCACCACCCACTGATCTGTAATAGGCCTGTGAGTGGGTTCCACACTCTTGAATAATAATGAGCCAATGTTTGTAGTCTCTACACTTTCGAATGAAATGTGACTTCCTGCTTATTATGACGCAAAATGATGATTTTTACGTCATAATAAACAGGAAGTAAAACACTTAAATCCTTATTTCTCCCATCTCAGGGGAAAAAAGTGAATAAACCATAACCATTCAAAAATATGACTGGGTTTCTTCTAAAGATACAAAGCTTAAAGGGATAGTTCACTTTGAATTTGAATATTAATTTTTGATATGTTTTAGCTTACCTCAAGGGCATCCAAGATGTAGATGTCTTTGTTTCCACAGTATTTTCAATTTTGACATTTTTCAGTCAAACCGTTGTTGTCTATCAGTCATACACTGGAGGCTAAGGGGGTCCACCAAAAAGCATGCACAGAGAAGTCAAAATTAAACATGATTTAATGACTCGTAAATGTAAGTACACATTGATGGCCTAAGACACAAAACGAGCGTTTTTTGTGAGAAAACGAACAGTATTTATATCGTTTTTATATAAGTGACGTCCAAGTGATCTGAATCAGTTGTGCAATGTCCAACTGAAGCGAACTGAATCAGTTTAATGTTACGCCAGAAGTGATCGCTTGTGTGTTTTAGCATCTATTTCGTCCCCTCTATCTCCACTGGGGTCTGCCCACTTTTTCAGCATTTTCAAATATTGCCAGTGGGTGGAGTCAGGCTCTGACAAGGGGTTTAGTTACCTTTTAAAAGCGTATTGAGGCTCTGCTTTTTTTTCTATTCATCATCGCCGTGGGCTCTGTTGTAGTTGAATACTAACGTGCGACTTCACATTTTTAAGAGAAAAAACAGCCCCTGACTCATCCCACGCTATATAGATACGTCTTATTTGAGGAGAGCTAAGCACCCACAGCATCAACCAAATAGCAACCAATGTAAATGTAGAAAAGTTTGGGAATCCCTGCTGTATGAAATGGGATACTGGGGAAAATTAGCAACACACACAATAATAAAGACAATCCTGACAATATGGTGCCGAGAAATCACACCAATTTTCTTCATAAAATGCAACATCTAACTAACATTTTTTTCTTTCTCTGTGTATGTATTTTTTAAAGAGACAATATCTATCCCTCATTTCACCTCCGAGGGAGTGTCTGCTGTGACCAAGTGTGCTGTGCTGGCTCTGATTGGTTACTGGCTGCTGTCCTTCCTGCTGCGGGTCACTGTGGCGCTTGTGCGGAGAGTGTTCTGGCTGATTAAAGCAACTGCAGTGCTGTGGCTGTTTGTGCGGATCGTCAGTGACCCCCTCGCCCCCCCTGAGGTCACCACAATGAGACTCACCCTGCTAGTGCTCGTCTGCGCTGTGTTTGGAGTCGCTACGAGCGGCGGAGTAGGAGGAGGGAGTCTGGAAACCCGAATCAGCAGTCTGGAGGGTCGAGTCAAAGGCATGGAAAAGAAGAAAAGAGAGTGATGAGCAGATCAAAACAAGTATACGGATACGGACTCACGACAACAGAAGGATGAGGACTCAGGGATGACTTTCTGAGTGTTTCATGTAACTTTCAAGCAGCCTTAAGAGTATTTATGTCTGATTTATCCTGCTTTGAATATATTGCATAATTCACTGGACCAGAAAAGGAATAGCTTTATTTTCTCTGTAAAGCAAGAAGACAAAACTCCATCAGACAGCTCTGTGAATTTCATGTGGTATGATTAAAGCTATTCTTGAATGTTGCCTGTTGCTCTAATACTGTCATTGCATGAACATTTTAATGTTCAGTTCAACTGTACAACAATACGAAATCAACACAATGAAGACACTGATTAGGGAAACGTATTAGGAATGTACTGGCCTTATTTGAGACAATATGGATAAAATGTATTAGATTTGCATATAACTATCATGCCTGAATAAATCTGGATAATTTGCCTTTGGCTGTGGGTTGGCTCATTACTTCCCACTATATGCAAACGATAGCAGCATCCTCAAAACATATTTGAATGCATGCACACAATGCTTAACAAACACCTATTAATTTCATTAAATATACACTGTAAATAAGTTACTGCTTTAAAAATTTTCGTACAATCAACTTGATGTTTGTCATTTCAACTTAGATTAACCTGAGTTGAATAAAAAAAGTAGAAAATTGCTTTTTGATGATTGCTACTTCCTTTTTGAAAATTTTGATGAGCATCGTTAAAGCAATGTAAAAACACATGTTTTCATAAGTTATTGGTCATAATTGTTTACAGTGTATAAATGGACAAATGCTGCTAGACATAATCAGTAACTAACCTTTCTGAAACATGTTGTCTTGTCATTGAACCGTCTGGTGCTGAGGTGTTTTTGATCAGTTCTCCTCAAGCTCACACAGGTGGAAAGAATCACATTAACTATCAAGATACGCTACCGTTTGGCAACTATAAATACTGCTATGTTTTCAGCACTAAAATTATTATATCATTTTCCTTGAGCATTTTAAACTTTCAATCCGTACTTTTTATCAGCGCTGCGTACGTGTCACTTTGAGACGCCGTGTTTGTCTAGTCTTATTTTTTATATAAATAATAATTAGTTCTACTAAATTAACAATATATTAAAACACACAATGACTCATGAAGTCATTAATTGCAGTATTTGATATACAAGCATGTTGTTAAACACGCTACAGTATCTACTTTCCTGTTGTTGTTTTTTTGTCATAGAAAGTATCCAGTAGATGGCGCCACTGTCACATTTAAAGGGCAGCTTGATTTATTTAAGACTGTTGTGACGTAATAAATGTAATATATTTATGATCATAGATGTTTATGATAACCAATTAGACAGACAAACAGATTAGATGCAGTCATGTATGCCGAAACACTAGATAGATAGATAGATAGATAGATAGATAGATAGATAGATAGATAGATAGATAGATAGATAGATAGATAGATAGATAGATAGATAGATAGATAGATAGATAGATAGATAGGAAATCTGATATCAGTATCTTTGGACGTATCAAATAAACGACTCCATTTTATAATTTTTCTGGATTTTTTTTTGTAGTTCACATTTTATGTACAAGTCACAAAACTGTGCACGTAAATACAAAAATACATAAAACATACAAGAGTGAGATAAATAAATACAAAGACACCTTCCGCTCCACTCACGATAACTGTGTTACTAACGTTAAAGGCTACATCATAACATAGCAAAGTTACTTAGTAAAGAACGGTGAAGGTGTTCATTCACACGGTCCTAAATAAAAACACCGCTTTGGCGGATCATCAGTTTCAAACATGGTTTTTAGGAAGCGAAACTCATTCCTCAGTTTGAAGCACTCCATCTGAATGACCAACTCAGTCCGTTTAAAAAAAAAAAAAAAGACATAATACAAATACAATGTATTACCCATAAGCCCCAGTCTACAGTGTATCTATATTCTTTATGATGTCAAAAAATAAACGACACCGGGCTGATTAAGCAAAATTAGGCTGTATATGTTTCCTATTACTGCCCACATGTATGTGCACATATAGATGAGAAAGTCAGTAAAGTGTTTATCCTGTGAATGCTTCTGAAGTCCATACGCCAGCTGAGCTTTCACTGGACAATCTGTGGCATTTCACTCCAGGCTTTGGCCTTCTTCTTGGCGAGAGCCAACCAGGGGGGCTCGTCCTGGGCCAGAGGCGCAGCAGACGGGTCAGCGCTTCTCTTGCTCTCCTTCTCTAGCATGGACGTGTTGGAGAGCTCCAGGGAGCAGCACACTGTTCATTCAAAAACAATGCAAAACAGTTCATACTCCTCTTCCTTTATACAGCATTTATTATACTAGGGAGGGAGTCCCGATTCTTGTTAAGATTTCGAGAGGTAGGGCGAAGGGGTAGGGCTACATAGCCCTCGAAACAGAGATTTTTCAGATGCACACTCCAAACAGAGGGCTATGAGAAAGTTCACAGAATACATCGCAAATCACCGGTGAGATGGCTTTGCAAACAGTTAAACATTTAAAGGGATACTACACTTTTTTTGGAAATAGGCTCATTTTACAACTCGCTCAGAGTTAAAGGTACAATATGCAGGATTTTTTGCAGTAAAATATCCAAAACCCACTAGGCCAATGTTAGATATTTTGTTTAGTTGATCACTTACAATATCCCAAATGTTTCCAACTATTTGTAAGTCGTGAGAAAATTGCGATTTTTAAGGTGAGGAGTCGCCAGTCAATGACGTCATATCCGCATTACCCCGTTTTCCGCCAGGTTTGACCTCGTACTCAATAGTAACCATGGCGACGGACGTGGACAACTGGGTCGGTTATGCCCGTTATGCGTGCTCAACAGCGTGAGCGTCCCTAGCAGGGTTTTGTTCAAACATATATCATGACAAGCACACTTTGAGACAAAAAGAGGACTAAAACGAAGATCAACATCTTTCCAGATGCCGAGAGCTCCACGTCCGCGACTAACTTCGACTTCGAGACGCGAGTGTTGCATGTTACTTGAGCAACCAGGTGAGCAAATCAATGTATATAAAACTAATCAATGTTATATAGTTCAACATGATGAAAAGTTAGAATATGATCTGTGTGTTATTCTCTAATGTTAATCTAGCTTAGTCTCATACAGCCAACAAACAACCTAACTAACAACATTCAACACACTCAAATGCCGTTTAGTGTGATAGTGAAACTGTTAGAGCAAGTGAAGCAGCGCTGCGTTACCTCAAGATTATTCCTCCAATAAACTGACCTGTGTGAGTAATTCAGCGTGTAGTTCGGTAGAATGAAATGTCCTAATTCCTTTATATCCGCGGGACTCGCGTACGACAATATCCATAATTCCGCTTAATGCGGAATATACGTCATTAATATACGCCTTTGTTATTGTAAGAGGTTAGCGACCCCTGGTGGCCAAACAATCTTGCATATTGTACCTTTAAACAGTTTTGGGTTTTACCGTTTTCGAATCCATTCAGCCGAATTTCTGACGTTTAGAAGAATATCAGTAACTAGACAGTTTCTGGTCCCGTTGACTTACATAGTAGGAAAAAAACGATATACTATAGAAGTCAACGGGACCAGAAACTGTCTGGTTACTGATATTCTTCTAAATATCAGAACATCGGCTGAATGGATTCGAAAATGGTAAAACTCAACTGTTTAACTCTGAGCGAGTTGTAAAATGAGCCTATTTCCAAAAAAGTGGAGTATCCCTTTAAATTTCGGGCCAGATGACACCACCATGTACTTTATTTACTCTTATACTAATATTATAGTCATTTAAATTAAGAAATTGTATAATAAAATACCTTTCCGATCAGAAAAGACATACATTTCGAGGAAGGGATGTTATAATCATCATGTTTATTCAAAGTTAAGAGCTGCAGCTGCGCTGATTGTCAGTCGTTGTCATGGAGAAATCCTGTAAAAAACTCTGTAACGGCAGAGCCATCGCCGACGGCTGATAACGTATCGGGTTCATGAAGGGTTGTTCCATTTCGTAGGGGAATATTTCAACCCCTTGGCCCTTGTAACCGTGTTTTAAGGGCCAAGGGGTGAATTGGGATTGAGCCATAATGTGAGAAATTGTATTTATATGCATTTTATGTAAGTAGTCTGCTATATATCTCATTGAGTTACATTACAAGCTATCAGAATTGCGTCATAGTTTTTGATTAAATAAATAATACCTGAAACAAATTCTGGGCCAAATTGCATATTCTCATTATATCAAACTTTATAGGTAATAAAACTTTTATGCTTAGTTTGTTATATATATATATATATATATATATATATATATATATATATATATATATATATATAAGCTGTTTTTATAAGAAATATATTGATAAATATATAATAAAACTTTATAAATGAGTTAAAATTATATAAATATATAATAAAAAAAATTTCCGGACTATTGTCAGGCTTAATTTAAGTTAATTTCGACTGATTTTTGACAGTTACAATAAATATCCACGAGGGGGCAGACATGTATCGATATCATTTGCCTTTTCACCCGAAGCTTACACCACAGCCTCATGCTATTAAGAGATTAAAACCATATTTTGTAACTTTGCAGGTCACTGCACATTTCAGACCCAACAGAACAAACCTAAATCCAGAGAAGCTTTGCTGATACTAATGGAGAGATTATTACCTTGTAAAGGTGAACACGGCTGTGCTGGTTGCTCTTTGGTGACTGGATCTGATAAACTGCTCGGTGAATCCGGTCTTTTGTCTTCCCCCTGAAAACAAGTCCACATATCCACATATGAAATATAAGTGAAAATAAACAGTATTTCAGAAATGAAAAAAAGAGCCATGAAGGATAATGTACATGAAACTTTGAAAGGAATGTTCAATACAAAACCTACTGATTACATTGGGATCTGAAAATATGAATTACCAGAGAAAATGGGTCATTAACTGAAATGAAACCTCACTCGGTTTTAAAACAGAGCTTGATTCACTTCATTAAAACATCACTGAACACAGCCATCTTTGCATGTTGCATCTTGGGAAAATACAGAGCAGGATGTTTTTGCGTGTGTGAATCTGATCGTCCTGTTGTTTCATGATGCTAAGACAGTTTTCAAGCACCTCCCTGAGAACCGGGCAAGACTGTACATGACATATTTGTGTTGATTATATGAAACACACCTGTGAGGGAAGTTTCTCAGCTGAGGTCTCCATGAAGTTCTTCTGCTTCTGTCTGGCCACGGAGATCCAGCTCGGAGACTCAGCACTACTGGCAGATATCCTGCCCACCGCATCTGAAAACAACAGAAAATATGAACCATCATATTATTTTATGACATAAAACGGAAGAGAAAAATAATGCTAAACAATAATAACCAATTTTTGAGGAACCAAAGATTAACCAAAGATTAATGCAATAAAGTCCTGCCCTGTATTATTTCCAATATTCTTC